TTTGGCAAAAAACTTTCCCTTTAAATGAAGTTTTTACTCCCTTTCTACTCTTATATTCCATCCTTTTCGTTAAACACTGATGCATGTTTCGGAAAAGTTCTTGATTCTCAAAAGTTCTCGATTCTTTAAAATTTCTGACTGTTTATCAGCAATTGTTTGTTGGTGTTACTACATTCACTTAGAAATGCACAATTTTTATATTATTACTTAACGATTTTTCATTGCATTTTCTGGCAGTAAGTACCGCTCAACATGTTGCAAATATTTTAGCCTCCAGCTCGTCGAAATGCCGCTGGAGAGTTTTGGCAAAAGAAATTTAATATTCATCCAGCCCAGCCCTGCTAATCTGAAATTGTAAACGGTTAACCTCCAAAACTTTGTTACCGGCAACATCCGCGCCTGGCGCCTGCGGGCATTATTAAAATTTCAGCAATTACGATTACAAAGGATCGACGAAGGTTCGCGGTCCGCGGTAGAATACGTACTTCGTTAATCTGACGACTGATTAATTGCTCACTTGCTCTAACAGGCTTCGGGCCGCCTCATTTGAACCCGCAGCTGCTCTCTGGGGCCGGCATACACTCGAGGGCGTAATTGCACTTAATTTGAAATTTGCGCAACCGTCCCAGATATCAGTCAGTTTTAATTTTAATATACAAGATGCCCGTGGAAGGGCAGAAATGATACCAATTAAACTTTAGCCCGATTGACACCTGCTAAAAATGGGGTGTTTTTCAATTTTTTAACTAAGTACATTACAAACTGAAAAATAGGTTAAAAAATATGATTTTATAGAATCACATAGATCACAAAAATTTAGATTTTCTACAACCCAGGCATTCAGTCAGTCAGTTCAGCCAGGCCCCTTTTGGATGGGAGCAAAGGAAGCAATAGCCTAGCTCATAGAAGTCCGGTATAGTTGTTACGATGTCAATTGTAACCTGTAAATCTTAAAGCACAGGACCGTATGCACTTCTGAAATTTTTTCTTATGCTTTGACAATGATGTGTCTCGTAATTTATATTCGAATAGCAACTCGGCGAGTCCGTATTGGTAAACTAGTTCGCCTGATGTAGAATTGACGGCGGCGCGCTGATCATCAAAGCAAACCTATATTGGTCCACTAGGTCGTAAATAATTTATTTGTATGGTGTTTTTTTACGGGTTCGATTAGCTTTGCCGCTTTGCCAGTGCCGTGCAGAGCATTGCTTGACGGGATATTTTGTTGGTATAGTACGTATTATTATTTATTAGTTGATATTATTATTTGTTCATATCGTAACCAGTAAAGGGTAACAGTTATTAAAATAAATGTTATATGTAACTATCTAGTAATTTGGCGTGGCTCTCTGGAGACTCTTTGAAGCGGAGGATCATGAAATAACTCGGGAAAATCCCCAAATAGTGGAACCGAAACAAGTATCGAAACAAACTCAGAGTTTAAAAATAAATATTTACACGTAAAAAGTCAACGTATTATATTAAATATATATGAATGTTTGAAAATTGAAAATAGTGAACAATGTGATAAAAAAGTTAGGAAACGGATTAACGGATTAACTAAGATATCCAAAAAGGCCAATTTATCGAGTAATTAAAGGATTGATCATGGTACAAAGAGGAAACGGAAAAATACAAAATTAAAGAAAATTGACGATTTTACCAGATGTAATGCGGCGCACAATTTATAATATGTATAAAGAAAATAAAGTTCCTACTTTAAACATGATTCGAGATAAATTAAGCGATTACCCTGATTATAATTATAAATCTTTAGATATTTTACGACATGCTTTATTACAATGCGGCTTTAAACATAAAAAACATCGTATGGTAATTATTTGGTAATATAGCTCGGAATATAGTATATCTAGACGACAGGGCTAAATTTTTCTGGACTTCTATAGATTCCGTAGAGTTTATGAGTTAAATGTTTTTATGCGGTTCCAATTGAGATAGTAACAACTTATAATAGTGAAGTACAGTAGATACCTTTGGCAATACCAAATCATATGTCAAAGGTCTAACTAAATCTAAATAGTACGTTTTGTTATTACCTCACTATGTATTACATTTTGATATTCTTATTTTCCCCACTTGCAATCAAGGTTAACGACGCACATGCTTTCAGTCAATGTGATGTAAATGAAAAATTTATTTGTCACCACTATAATTTCTATTCTAAATTAAAAAATATATTCCTAATAAAGTAACATTTCCATTTTCTTTGAGGTTGAAGGAAACTATCCCATTGCAAGTGTGTTTAAATTAAAAAAGAACTATCGAAAAAACGAGTTGTCTTTGGTTAAGATTCATTTTAAGCTGTAAAGATAACAGACTATAAAAGCCAGTAAATACTTATTATAACTGTTACGTAAAAGTAAATTCTTGATTTCATACGCGTGATCTTTTACTAGTAATAATTGGTAAAATCCAGCGGCAGGCAGCTGGTGAAAATTGATATGGTCACATTTTCATAAATAATCATGGAGCCCGTACGGATTTTTAAAAGATGGTTTCTAAGCTTGCAAAGAAAACTCGAATAAAATTTGCGAAATAAGAAGTTAAAATACTCATACAGTTTATTGCAACTAATCACTGTAATAGGTTTCGATTACTGATATTTGAGGAAAATAACGAATTTATTAAGTAAGGAATGCAAATTACTTTCTATTAAGCCAAAATTTCAAATAATTTGTCTGGGTCCTGCTTCACTCTGCAGGGGTTTTAAATAGTCTTTATTCGGCTACAACTTTCTCGTATAGTATTTCGTTTATTTTATAATTAAACAATTATTTCTTTACATCATACCTAGTTAATTGTTGTGGAGGTTTTACTTTATGTATAAATATTTCAGTACCATTGTCAGTAGTAAGGGAAATATCAGTTTTTGAAATGTTTTACGATAACTGAAGTATTCATTAGTCTTTTTTGAATGCAAAATTACACAGTTCCACAAAAAAGTCTTGTGCGAATGACCAGAATGCATTATTCCCATATATTTTGAGTCGTTGAATTCGAATCCAATGTCAGAATTGTCCCAGCAAATCTCCAAAATTTTTTAATATAAAGAAAGCTTAAAAAATTCACAAAATCGACAAATAATGCAAGCCTTTCTGTTCGTTTGGGCGCCAAGAAATTTTCGCGCCAGGTGTTGAGGTCTTTGAGATGGGTTGCACTGAATTCATGGGAATAGTATATTTTTGCAATATTTGTAAACTCTTCTATTCTAAAATTAGAGAATATTAGCGCTTTTAAACTATTTTTTCAGGTTGAAGCATTCTGGTGATATGCTGGGACAATTCTGATGTCGGATTTGGATGCAGTGGGTCAAAAAGTCAAAATACACGCGACTACAATGGTTAGACCACGATTTTGAGTCGCTGTTAAATCATACCTGGATCATAGAAGCTAATTTATGGGGATTTTTAAGCTTGTTTTAAGATTAGGAAGGATTTGTGATCTTATGGACCAAATCTGAATTCGGATTCGCGTTCAGCGTCAAGATACATGGGAATATAAAGATCTGACCACTAGTTTCAGCCGCTGATAAATCATACCTGGATTTAAAATGCTGATTTGTCGATTTTGTGGGTTTTTAGCATTTTTTGATAGAAAATTCTGATGCACTTCTAATATCGGATTCGAATTCCACGGCAATTTGCAAAAGACTTTTTTTGTGGAGATGTGTTATTAATACATCTTTATCTAAACTGAGAACGGTATTTTACATTAAATTAGCTACATTTTACAAAGTACGAGTAATTAGTATAAGGTTATAAATACATATTAAATAATTTTATATACCTAAAGTTTATGAAAGTGATATTATGTAACAATTTTAATAATTCTTTAATGTAATGTAGTAATAAGTATATTTACATTTATATACCAGTCTCTTAGATTGTCCTACCTACTTAAGAAAAAATATATATTTATATGATTGATATAACAGCTAAACTATTACGGTTGCAGTAGGCTTGCCATATACATAAATTGTTTTAATAGAATGCGTTCATGACATTTTTGATCACTTGGTGTAATATTGAATCAAGGTCTACAATGCAATGTGCTGTCAGGTAAATAATATTTCCACGTTACTGTTTAACATTTTGAATAAACAATTATTTCAATTTCAGTATCTGAAAAAAATCACCATTCTAATTATGAAGATTACTGAGGAGTGTAACAATCACACAATGTATACGATTTTGCACTAAATCCAGACGTAGTAAGCGTACTAAGAAATATTGTTTGCTTCATTATTTAAGGTTATATAAAATTTGTCATAGTTCACAAAAGACCAGAAAAATAAATAAACCATTCTCAGAAAACCAAATATTTATTTTCATTAGTGAATCGTGAATCAACCCCCCAGTTATTTAATTGCAAATTATACGTTTAACAATTGTTGTCATTAAATTAATCTGTTTAAGGTCAATGTTCAATCCAAGAAGTCTGTTATAAATTCTAGGGCACTATATTATATTGGCTGACTTCAACTTGCATATGAAATTAATATTTTTTTTTTTTTTGTAAAAGTTTACACGGCTCATATTTTATAATACTGAACTGAATTTATCGGCATTATTCGTAACACTTACACAAATATTTCGATTTGAATTTAAAATACTTAAAAGGAAGTACGATCTATATTATATTTTTGAAATGCAGAACAATGCAACGATTACAACATAGTTGTTTTAAGAACATACCGAAATATTACAAAAAATCAGATTGTCTATTTTAACCATCATATAGCGACGTTATTTTATAACCAAGTTATGTCGGATGTGACAAATTAACTGGTTCAATAAATTGTTGCCAATTTAAACATATAGTATGGGTGTAGAGATCTCTGATGAGCCTTATTGCTTAACAGTCGGTTTCATAATTATTACAGCGTTGAATTTCCAGAAACCAACCGAAGATAAATATAATGAATCTGTATTAGAACTAAAAAAAGAATACGCAACTGAAAAATTCAGCTTCAAACTTACCGTTGTTAGCATACATTGAGATTCCCTCAGAGCTCCACAATATCCTAAGAAGCTCACTAGAAACATAAGAGCCCCTATTGCTATTAGAATATACGAGACTTGTTCTATAACTCCTGGTTTGGTGAAATTCTGAAACAAAAAAAAATAATAATAATTAAAAAATATTAAAATCAAATCATGCAATCAAAGAACATTGTTTGACTTCTTTTGATAGGATTTTAGATTTTTTTTTAGTTTGGTGAAATTCTGAAACAAAAAAAAATAATAATAATTAAAAAATATTAAAATCAAATCATGCAATCAAAGAACATTGTTTGACTTCTTTTGATAGGATTTTTGATTTTTTTTTATTTGAATTGGCTTTGAAATAAATTAAAAATTCAATACCTAACAATAAAATATTTAGTATTTAAAAAATACATTTAGTAAAGACGGAAAATATTGGTTATGTCAGAAACAATCCACATTAACTTTTTATTGTATATAACATTTTTATTGTATATAACATTTTTATTGTATATAACATTTATTGTCGTTTCAAAACATTTTATAAATGTTTTATACAGGGTGGTCACAAATTTCACCGACAATGTTTGACTGCAAATTCACGACGATAAATAAATACGATCTACGATATCTTTGTTCGGTACTATCAACTGGATTAATAAAGCATAGAAATATTCTCGATACGCACTGAGTTCAAAGTGCAAGTACGTCTAAAACGCTGATAGTTTTTGGGATTCCCATCTATTTTCTAACATAACAATAGCCTTACAAATAACCAAGACACAAATATTAAAGAGTTGTTCATGTATATTAGTAAATTTGCGAGAGTGATTGTTATAGATTTGTCAATTTATTTAATAAAAAGCAGGAAATTTTAAGTCTACGTAGTAACTATACAAGTTAACAAATAGAGGTCAATTGCCGCATTGTTGCATTTGACCCTGTTTGCTTCATTATCTGTATTTTGCTTCTTGTTTCTTAGAAGCCATTAAATTTTTATCAAAGCAAATAAATTTATGAACTATGTTTTCAGAAAAATTACTCCCCAAGTAGCAAATAAACCACAGTACAGTCCGTACGATATTTGTTGAGATAAAATTCCAAGAAAACCCCTGCGTCACTTCCTTGGAATTAACCGCATTTGACTCCCTAGGTACAAAGTCATTGGTGGCATGGCATCTGTGGTTTGCAGTTACGAAGGCATGTTTCTTCGTAAGTGTATAGTCTTGTACATTTTCAATGTAATTTCTACGTAAAATTAATCAATGGAGGTGAAAAATAAAGTAATTTAATTCCCAATTGAAGAATATCGTGTTTAACGTGTATAATTATTTTAAGACAATTTTTCCAAATTCCTTTTTTTTGTACCAGTGTTTATAATTTATATCCTCAAGTTTATTTATGATTTGTACTCTACTGTACTGAAAAATAAATAAAAACACATTTTAATCCAATAAATCTACTTTATATATTTATTATAATATTCTGAAAATAACAGGGAACATTTCCAGGCCGCGGTAAATTGTTACAGTAGTTTCTATAGCAGAACTTTACTGGCTTATTCTTTTCTTGGAATTTTATCTCAACAAATATTGTAAGGACTGTATCTAATATGATTTTAGTATTAATAAAATAACATTTTATCGCCGTAAATTAAAATTTATTATCCCACGACAAGTTTTTTCTTCATTATGTATTGAAAAACGGAAAGATATATTAACCTTCTTTGTCTAGGTTTACACTTAATCCACATTCCATATGTATTTCAGAAAGTTCAATTAATTCAAAATATGCAAATTGTACTTCAATTTGTAGTTTCAGTTTCAAGTCGTTTGTATTTAATAAAATACATATAAAATTTATTTCATAAGTTGTCATGTAAGCTGAAGTTTAATAGCAACAAAGAATTTATAGTAAAACTGTCCTTTCGAAAATGTTTAATATTAAATTTTTCCTTTACAATATTTAAATAATTTTACAAGGTCTAGCGTAAAAATAGATATACATAAGTCAATTCTGAAGAAAATTAAGAACCCCTTGTAGTTTCACTCTGTACATATTTCCACCACCTACTCCCAGAATTATAAAATAACTGAAAACGTCGAAAACACTACAACTACCCCTACACTGTACACCCTTATCTACATATCAAGACTTTACCATGTCATTCTTACAAATGTTTCCTTTTTTTTACCTCTGGAAATAATTTATTGATGTGCCTTTCCTACATAGAAATTCACTCTCTACCTTACGAAAATACTCTTGGAAAATTTAGTTTTCTTCATAGTTTTTAGAAAATGGCCAAAATGTAGAGGTTCACCTTTTCCTCTTCATTGCCATACCCGAAATCGTCGAATGCCTGAACTACTTCCATTCGACGTAGAATGATCCAACCTACACAACGACACTAAAATCACTCCGATCGAACCAACATTACGCCCAGCAGTCGCGACCGAATATTTGTTACACCTCGAAAGTTTATGTATCCATCTTTTACACTGTTAAATTATACAGGGTCGGAAAGTCCCCATGGTTCATCGGCCGTTACGTGAGAGCGATAAAGTAAGTCATATAAATCCGTGTGATAGAGAAGGATGGCTATAATGAAGGCGTCTCATAGTCACCGCCCGTTTCGCCCTTCCACAAATAAGATCCACTTCCACTGAGCTGTAATTGCTTCCACTGTAATTCAGCGACCGGTGGTCATCTTTGTTTTCGTTGTTTGGCTTTTCTTTAATAGATGTCACTACTTATACAATTTCGACTTCGGTATTCCGATATGTTAATACCATCCGTTAAAAGAGGGCAGCACAACGCGTAACAAAGAAAACTATTTACAGTAGCTAGTAGATACCTCTGTTTGTAAATCTAGTGACCTTGTTTCCCCTACTGAGAAGTTATTCAAATGGAGTATAGTGCTCAGCTGCATTTAAAGTTCATTTAGTTGTTATTTAAGTATACTTTAAACTTTATACTTTATAACTTCAAAAAAATCTGTAGATCTGGCATCACTCTTTCTAGGGCTGCGCCTCACCTTAGAAACATTGTGCTGCCCTGTGTTAACGGATTGTATTAACATATCGGAATACGAAGTCGGAATTGTATAAGTAGTGACATCTATTACAGAAAAGGTAAACGACGAAAACAAAGTTGACCACCGGTCGCTGAATTACAAGTGGAAATGGATCTTATTTGTGGAAGGGCGAAACGGGCGGTGACTATGAGACGCCTTCATTATAGCCATCCTTCTCTATCGCACGGATTTCTATGACTTACTTTATCGCTCTCACGCAACGGCCGATGAACCATGGGGACTTTCCGAACCTGTATATATTTTGCTAACATCTAGCGTGACACAACCGATTCGTAAAGTATTTCCAATGTAAATAATGTTGGAACGAAATGAAGTGGAAATGTAAACAAAAACCTATTTGTGCCCCTATTCACATCGAGTTAGTTCACTCATCCTTGAAAATAAACGTATTATCTCCATCGTACGCTAGTAAATCCAGGCTTTTCCCCACATGCAACCATTCTGCATTGCTAACTGGGTCAGAGTGCACTTTACGCGTTCTTCTAACAATGTCGATAAAACGCATTTGCCCCCCTGGGGTTGTTGAACTTAAAGTCGCCACTGGCTTGGACGGTTCAGTGACAACAAGAGGGTTCGTTTATTTTGCCAAGCGCCACGTGCCTCATTCCGCGTTTCGAGGCAGGAGATATGAAAGACTTGAGTTGGATTTGGATTTACTGGATTCGTATTTACAGATAAAGAAGCCACGCGTAGGGAATGCTCGTAGGTTCATAAGCTTTTGCGAGATAAATCCTCTTTGTCGCGAAATTTCGATATTTTGAAAGAGAGAATAAGATGATATTTTAAAAGAAAGAATAAGAGGATAAGGCAATAGGCAACGTCTAGAAACTCTGTTTTCTGTTTTTATGGGAATACTAAAAATATTTACTTTATTAATAAAAATTTCTGAAATACTTATAGAATAATATTTAATTCTATTGAAAAGACTTCATAAATGGCTCAAGTGACCAATAATTTTGTAATATTAAAAATTATTAAAATAATATCAACATTACCTTAAAATATTCAAACACAAAGTTCTGCTTCACCGGCCGATGACGTAATTTTTTGCCACATTTTGTTGACGGTCTGTCATTGTAGGCTATTGTTATTGGATTTTAAAAGGAACTTCAAATGGTCATTTTAGATGAAAAAACCGCGGAGTGCTATTAAATTAGAGGGTGAATATTGGAGATAGGAGTGAAAATGCACCCCTTTCAGTTTTTTAATTGTAGCTCGAAAACTAAGCAAAATTTCACTATAGTTCATAGGAAAAATTATTTAGAGAATTGAATTTCCCATCGAAATGGCATATTTAAAAAAATTTAAAGGAAAATTTTATGCAAAAAATTGTTTTAAAAATGCAAAAAAATGAGATTTGATTTTTTTACTTTTTTGACTCTTAATTTACGTTAAAAACGACGAAAATCTAAAAAATAGTTTGACCGGTTATAACTCAATCAATATTAGTCCAAAAACTTTTGAAAACGCATAATTTTTAAGGAAATCTCATCTAGTGTTTTTGTACAGCAATTTTCTTTGCCTATATCTACTAAAAAAAAATAGAGCCAAAAAAGTAAAAAAAATAAAAAATCTTATCTACAAATTTTTTTCCATGAACTATACCGAAATTTTACTTCGTTTTCGTGCTATAATTAAAAAACTGCAAAAGTGCATTTTCACCCCTATCTTCAATTTCAACTCTGATTTAATAGCATCCGCGGTTTTTCATTTGTAATGACCCTTCGAACAAGTCATGTGATGAAAATCCTTGAACGAATCCTTCCTTTTTTGCAAAAAAGGGTAATAAGGGTAAACGCGACGATAATCGAAAAATTGGCAATGTTTGAGCGGCCATATAGCAGTCCATTCACATCCAAAAATACTGTACAACCTTTTTTTTTAAGGAAATTTTATCTACTTTATTTTATGATACAATGCCTATACCTATCTTTACTCAAAAAAAAAAAAACTAGAGGCAAAAAGGTAAGAAAAAATTGAATTTTTTGCTTTTTTTCAAATTGTTTATTAACGATTTTTTTTGCATAAA